CTAAGTGATCAGCTACTTTGGAACCTAATCATTAACTCTCCAACCCCCTCCTTGTCCTTTATAAACCAAAGGCCTGATTCTCCACTGCTTTACACCAAGTGAACTCATTTGTACCTGTTGCATCCACTTTGCACAATGAGTGTAAAACACTACCAGAGCAGCCTGACAGCATTTTTCATCCGCTTTGTACTGGTATAAATGACTACATAAAGGTGCAAGCAGTGGAGAATCAGGCTGCCAAATACAAAACATTTAACGCTAACTATACAGTAGCACACAAGGAGATTCTCTGGCTTCCACTTTTGATCTGATGGATTAGGAATAATTCCAAGACAAAAAACAATGTTAAAGAAAAATTAAGAGTCAGTATAGAAATCAGTACATGTAAGGGTAAATCCTTACAAGAACATTGCAGTTAAGAAAAAAAAACTATTAGAAAAGGTAGGAAATTCAGATTTAAGGTTAAAACTTACAAGAAACCCAAACTTTTGAAAGCATGGAAATCCACAGATAAATTACCAAAACTACCAGGCATCACTGGCAAGAGACAAGAGCAGACAAGTGGTCTGAGAGTCAGAGCAAAAAAAAGTCTTAAAGGTGGAGTCAAAAAGCTGAAATTGATGCAAAGAGATTCAATTGGTGTGTGTGCACAGGTGTTTTGGAGGGAATGAACAGAACAGGCAATCATTGAGTGATCCATCCCCCGTCGGCCACTCTCAGCTTCCAGCAGTTCTTGCTGTATGGACAGAAAAAAATGCTGATTCAGGAAATATTATGGAGGAAGATGTGCCAGGATTTGGAAATGAATTGAATGTGTGGGTTAAGGGGTAGAGGCACCTTGACATATCTTGGTCGGAAATCATAAGAGGAAAAAGAACTAGAGCCCTGTGTACAATGCACTGCAAAAAATATATATTTCAAACATGTGCTGAGAAAGTTTAACCTCTTGGTATTTCTAGTTCCCTGGTTTGTACAATGTCCATCAAGGCCACATTCATAGGGAGCTAAAAGGAATGCAACTTCTACCTGGATGATCCCAGTCAGAAATGTTGTTGATGCAGTAAGTGTCAAGGCTTCCATGTAACTCTTCATATAATTTGCATCTGAGAAATTGGCAAAGGTTCCATTAGCAGTCAATACAGGGCTGAAATTCAGCGTCTTCAGAACATCTGCCACCATTGCATTCAGAATGCTGAATGAACCTGTGACCAACAGAAGCAGAGAAGAAGGTTGTATGATTCCCTGCAACCAAAAGTCCATCTTTCACCCCCACCCATGCACTAGAAGGTCTATTTTCTCTCTGTGTGTGTGTGTGTGTGTACATTCACACACACTTCTTAATAGCTATATAAAATCATGTCTCAGACGTATAAAATCAAGTCTCAAACACTGATTCTCACTCACATCCCTCCCAAGTATATGAAATTCCTGATACTGTATATCATCCAAAAGCAGACTACATTTACAACCTCACAAACATGAACTATCAAGTCATTCAGATGCATGACCAAAGATTATTTCAATACAAACTCTAAACAAGCTTTTACCGCTGTCAAATAGACTGAAGAGTGAATGTGAAAGAAGTTAGCTGAAGAAGGAAGTGTAGCTCTGGCTCTAAGACTAGAGGGCACCCTATGCCCACTTACTGTGATACAGTGGACAACCTTTTCACCTGAAAGGAAGGGAAAACAAAGAAGGAGGTCTAGGATCAGAACCATCGCCAAAAAATAATTGCCAGGGCTCTGTTCACAGATTTATGTCTCCAATCCATTTGTTTGTTGATCTCCTTGTACAAATCTCTCTGTCTCATGTGTTTGTATGTTGTGTGAATATATAATTAGGAAGAGTGCAGAACCATTAAGGATGCGATAATGGCAAGCAGCTGTGTGACCCCGCGAGCAGACCAGAAGCCAAATTGTGACTCAGTCTGGTTCCCCACTTGCTCTCGGGGATGGTGGGGGAGAGAAGGAAGGAAGAGTATTCTGCGCAAGCCCTACTGTGTCTGGTGCTGATTACTCTTCCATGGAATTCTGGCTCTCTCCTCTGTGCTGGTATCTGTGATGTGGATAGTCCGTGCAAGGAAGTAAGTGGACACCTTACTCCCTTGTGCGGGCATACAAGGTAGTCCACAATTGAGTCCTAAGTGATTTGCTCAGGATCACACAAGTCAGAACCAAGCAGGTGACTGGGAGTCAGGATGCTCACTCCAAGACCATGCTACCAAGTAAGATTAAAGTAAGATTTGTCTCAAGTAAGATGAGACAAAGATAGATATAGGCACTTCCCACACCCTCTAATGACAACTCTGCACATGACCCCATAAATCCTGGGGACCCAATTCACAGAGCAGAGTAAAACTTACCAATGGAGATATGGCGCGAAGTCCCAAATACAACATATGTTAATGAGCAGCAGAATGCAGAATAGAAGCCATTGACAATTGGTAGTGGTAACCTCGTTAACAAAACTCCTGACAGTCCTGGAGGAGAAACATACATTTTTAAAAGCAAAGTGTATCTGGCAAGATTTTATGTTCTACTGTACTTTAATTGTCACAAAGAATACTAATAAAATACTGAATCTTAGAAGGTGTACGTGTGTATGCATATTTGTTTGAGAGCACATGCGTGCATCTCTGTGTATGTCAAATATTGTGCATGAGACTATATGCTGAGCACAAGTACAAATATATGTATGCAGATGTGTACACGCCTGTACATAGCAGGCTATAAATTCAGTTAAGGAAATCTGATGTCAACTTGAAGCCCATTGTATATTCCCCAATAAAAACTATGTTAAAGACTGGGGGTAAAGACTAAGTATTTATCAGTAATTTAGGGTAAAATACATTACAGGGTTGTTACAATTATTCCAAAATCAAGCATTATAAATCCTGGAAATTCAGAGTTCACATTAAATTTTAAAAAAATAAAAACATATTAAAAGGAATGGAAACAAACAGTCGGGGCATCCAAACAATCTTAATTCTGCCCGTAGTAAAACCATGCAATAACCATATGATTTTTATTAAGGCATTTTAGTGTTTGTGATCCCAAATTAGATTAAAGTAAGTTTTAGAAACAAATTAGTTTTTTTCCCCTCTCACAGCATCCGTTGTTTAAGAAATTTTATCTCAGCTCATTAATTGTAAATTCTCAGAAAATGTATTCTGTAATCAAAGAGTAAATGCTGTAACTTTGGGGAGAATACATTGTATTCTTCATTCATAACAAAGTGGTTGAATCCCTACTTTAAGCAAATAAACAAACAAACAAAAGTAAACTCAAACTTAACTATGGAACAATGACCAGTGCTTCCATAGTAGGGTAAGCATAGGCAAATGTACACAAGCATATACATGTGAGCTGAAAAACTACTTTAAAATTCATCCCCCAAAACTAATCCTGCAAGCGCACACATACACATGCATACCCGCATCAATGTGTGTATATATGCAAGATGCATACCTGGAAAAAAAACATGCACTTGCATGTACACAAAAGCATGCATATACAAACTCTATCCACTTTAGGACCCTACATGACTGGAGAATAAACTTCTGATCAGCCTAGGGAGAATGGAGGAAAAATGAGGTATGAATAAAAATAGGATGGAATGGGAAGACATGCAAGAATATTTTTCTTTGCCTACCTTGCGGAATCTGGACCATCCCCACACTTAGGCCTGCATGTATGTCATTCAGGAACCACTCTCTGACTCGATATGCACACAACCAGTTCAGGATAGGAAACATCTTGAGTATGATCTTCCTGAATCTTGCCCAGGAGAATCTGAAAGGAACCAGACAAGTTCTGTGTACACTGTTGTTCAGTATTTCCACCTCTGTAGCACCTTACCAGGCCTTTGTCCTTTTTATGCCCAAAATGCATAGAGCTATGATTAACCACTTTCAGGCGCTGTGGACATATAATATGAATGCAATGTAGTGATCCCTATGTCTGGTTCCCTTGCATTCCATTCAAATCAAGAGCAAGCATTTTATGTGTCACTCATTTTATGTGTCACTCACATTACTCTTTGAATTAAGATCCCCAACTCTGGACATACCGATTTCTTATTTTTGGTACCACAGATAAGCGGAAGACAGTGCTTTGATTCCTGCTATTCTGATGAAGGTGGAAAATTGAAAATGATAAAATCTTTGAAAACGAGGTGAAAAAGACTTATAAGTCCCCTAGTCCATCTACTACAGGGAACAGTCAAATTAGTTTCCTGTACTATATTCTGTACTATGGGGATGTCAAACTAATGGCCTGCAGTCAGGATTAAGAACATAAGAACGGCCATACCGGGTCAGACTAATGGTCCATCTAACCCAATATCCTGTCTTCCAATAGAGGCCGGTGTCAGATGCTTCAGAGGGAGCAACCAGAATAGGGCAATTTATTGAGTAATCCATCCCGTCATTCAATCCCAGCTTCTAGCAGGCAGAGGTTTAGGGACACCCAGAATATGGGGTTGGATCCCTGACCAACTTGGCTAATAGATATTGATGGACCTATTCTCCATGAACTTATCTAATTATTTTTTGAACCCAGTTATACTTTTGGCCTTTGCAGCATCCCCTGGTGATGAGTTCCACAGACTGACTGTGCATTGGGTCACATGATGCATTTATATGGTCCACATGTCTCTATCAGAGTTTCTAATAACTAACCTTTCATTTAAAAAAAAAACAAGTTTCTAGTCGTCATGGCTGCAATGATAATACTCCAAAACGAACCAAGTGTAACCGATGCAGCATCTGCCCGAGTCTGCAGACAGCCTGATACAATTACTTTCAGGAGTAAACTTCCATCTTCCCTATTAATCTGATTGGACTGTCAACTTTAAAGTCCAGTTATGACACTCTGATGTCAACATTAACTATTTAATCACTGATCATTTTAGTGGATGGAATGGGAGCATGGGGAGTGAGTGAAGTTCAATGGTTTGGCAGCTAGGAATGAAACACAGAGAAGGAACAGAGGAGACTCACAAAGATAGGGGAGTGGGCCAGAAACAGTGAAAGTAGGATGAGGAAGCAAGAGAAACAAAAGGCAGAAACAACAGGCCTATAGGGGGTCAGATTTTCTCAATTAATGAAATAATAAAGCACCGAACAAATAATGTTGAGCTACTACATAAAGGCCATATTCTCCTCTTGCTCTCTGTGCAAATCTCCTACTGATATCAGTGGGTAATACACAGACCTCAATGTAAGCTCCAGCTCACAGACCATAACTAAACAGAATTCGATCCTCTCCTCCAAATAACTTAGATACCTTTGCTCTAGTACTTTGATCGCTATCTTTTATTTTATATCTATTTTATATCTATATAAATAATATAGATATTTTATATTTTATATGATGGAGCTTCCTACCCATGGCTACTTAATGGAGATCTCTGTGAACGATGTTTTTCTTTCTGATTATTCCTAAAGGTAAAGGAAGAGCTAGAAAAGGAGGCCAGGGATAAAATTGCACTCTCATTTACATCAATGCAAATCTAAAGTGCCTCCACTCACCTCAGTGAAATTACTCCAGATTTACAACAGTGTAACTGAAAGCTGAATTTGACCCACAGACTTAGCTTTGAACCTCAAGTCATATCAGGGTCACAAAACAGCAGGTGAAGCTTCAGCAGTCACTTCAGTTCTAGTGAGCAGTTGAAACAGAACGCCGAGACTCGGCGTTTCAGGAGACTTGGTATCTACTTCTTTATAAGAACAGTGGTATGTAGGTGCTTCTATTAAGTGACTCAAGAATAAGGAATTTACCTAGTCCACTCATAGTGCTCTTTGTAGGCCAATCCACAGAACAATAACTGATATTTCAAAAGGAAGCCCCTGTCCTGATCTCCATGCGGGAGAAAGGAAAGATGCCAACGAAGAAAACCTACCACATGCAACCCCCTGATGAACCCAAATAAATCCCAATGACTGACAGAATAAAGCCTGAGACAACATGGAGATGAACATAACCCAGGGGACAGTTCAGTCTGGGTGACAGAGTGATACAACAAAACTAAAGGGAATGTGACAAATGAGTTTCCAAACTTTGACTGGTTAATTTTTCCTTGGTGGAAGAACAGGACATCCTCTGATGCTGCTGAAAGAGGGTCCTTTGTGGTCAGCACCTGCAGCATCTCAGCGTAGAAGGGTATTTTGAGTCTTTGGGTATACACCCCAATCCCAAGAGTACTCTGGCAGGGCAAGTCCCTACTGGGAAGAACAGGCTGGGGTTACATTAACTAATACTGCATTTGCACACTCACTTCGCCCATCCTAGGAGGGAACCTTAGAGCGGGAGAATGAGGTACAGCAATTTCTGCCATACTCTTAGGAAACCTAGTCTCTTTCTACTCTAGGCGGGAACTGAAAGTGGTACTTGGGAGAATTTAAACAAAAATAGCAAACACAAATGCCAGGAAAACCAGATGTAACCTTGTGTCTGCCAGCTAGGGTGGAAGGAAGCACTGGGGGGGACTGAAAAAATCCGCAGAATCCCTCCTCACTATGCATAGCTGCCTCATATTACCACAGCTGTGAAACAAACAGAGACTTTTATGGTCTGTAGGCAGAAACTCTCCCTGTGCTGTGGTAAGCTTGACTCACGTGCAGGGCTGGCCTTAGAGGTGAGTGATGCCATGTGCACCAACATTTGGGAGCACTAAATCTTTGCATTGAGAGGTCCCAAATCCCTAATTTTGTGTGTGTTTTTTTTCTCTCAACAGTTTTGCTTGATGGCTTTTGTTTTGTTTTGCGCAGTCGTCTGGAAGGCACCAAAAACATTTTCCATCTTTGGTGGCAAAACACACACAGATGGCCCTGCTTACCTGCTCCAGGCACGGGACTCTACAGTTTGGTGCTTTGATTCAGCTTGTATCAGTCACCTCTTTATTGTAGTAGAGTTGTGGGCAGCAGGAGGGTCAGTAACTGTTTTTACACTGGTACCTGAATTGGCTCCTCAGCTTCTTCATACCTGCCAAATTCCTGGTACATTACTCACCTGCACTGGACCCTTCCTTGGATTCTGAAGTCCCTGTTCCTTGGGGAGGGGGTGTTTCTTTCATAGTTTTTCTGGAACTGCTCTTCAGTGTATATGCCTCTCTTGATTCTGTACTTCCCTAGCTGCCTGGGAGCGCTGATAGTCTCAGCATCTGGCTCCATGCGGTCACACTGATAGTGGACAGTCAAAAAACGTGGGAACAGGGAAGGCGAGAGGGTGAAATCAAAGCTGTTGTCATTACCTGTGACACTGAAGGGAAGAAGGAGGTCACAGAACTGGAGTGTCTCATTGAAAGAGAATGTTTAACTGACTAAGCCAGGGGTGCTGAGAGCCATTGAACCAAACTGTAATCCGTGGATATGATGGGAAAAAAACACTTCAAGCCAGGGGGTGCAGCAGCACCCCCAGTTCCAGCACCTGTGCACCCAAGCCCCTGGGGTGGAGGCTGAGGTCCTCTGTCCACGGCGCAGTAGTGGCACAATGGCAGTGTTAGCACCCCCCACCCCCTCCCCTGCAGCACCCTCAAGAGTCACTTCACTGGGGTCACCGGGGGAAGAATGGGACCCTTGTTCCCAGATCCCTGTGGCTGGGGCAGCTCTTCAGAGGGGCTGGGGGCCGAATGCCCCCTGCTCCCTCTCGGCCTCTCCCGCCCATCTCTCGACTCGCCCACGCCCCCTCCCCAGTGCTGCCAGCCGCTACCGGGCCCGGCCCTGCCCCGGGCGGGGACACACCCCTCGCTTGCCGGGAACAGGGGGAGCCCAGGGCCCGCTCACCCGCAGCAACCTGAGCCGCCGCCGCCTCGAGACTCGCGGGGGCGGCCGGGCCTCGCCAACTGCCAACCCCGGGGTGGGGCGCGAGGTGCACGGGATACTGCCACAGCTCACCCGCGGGGGCCTGAGCCCCGCCTCCAACCCCAGGGGGTGCCCAGGTCTGAGCCCCTCCCTTCCCGCCTCCAACCCCATGGGGTAACCGGGTATGATCCTTTCCCCTCCCTTCTCCAACCCCATGGGGGGGGCTGTGGCTGTGGATACTGCACAGATACTGAAGAAAAGTGCATGTGCAATTCATAAAACTTCTCATCCGCTGCACGCTACATAGTGAAGCAAAAAGATCAGGCACCTTGGCAGCCCCAGTATTTTAATGGCCCCTTCTAGCGCAGTTCTTTGGTTTTTGTTGCATCCACCTACTTTTTCAAACCCAATTTTATGTAACTGCAAAAAAACCAGCGCTTTATGCAGCTGCATGCATATGTCCCTCAGAAGCAGTTTAGTGAACGCGCCACCTCAAGAGGCAGATAGCATGGTCCAGCGGTTAAAGGGAGCCCCCCCCCGACTTCAAATGCTGACCGCCATTTATTGGTTCTGTGACCTTGTGTCAGTCACTTCACTTCATTGATTATTTGGTGCTGACACTAAGCTTGAGCTCCATTTCACAGGGCATTTCACGACATGCTTCATTTTGAAGCAAATGCCTAAATCTATTCCCAAAGAATTTCCTATTCTCAAACACGTGCTCGGAGTTAAGCATGTACACAGCTGCTTGCTTTGATGTTGATCCTTGGCGCTGTACACCGCCCAGCCACAAAAAGGCGGTTCCGCCAATCGAGAAGACAGGGCCATAGTGAAGCGAGAACACGCTGGGGACTCCAGCGGGAGGTGATTTAGCAGCTTTCATCCGCCCCACTATTCCCTGGGCTCCTGCGTACAGGCGGCCCTAGGGCAGCGGGCTAGGACTGAGTTTGCAGAAGTCAGTCACACTGGGGAAGTGAACTTAATCCCGAGACACTAGAACCACAGGAGCAGCTTCCCTCTGATGTAGGAGAGCAAAATAGCCCCAATACCCAGAAATGACCAGGTCTGTGCCCTGCCTCTCCGCCCAGCCTGGCCCAGGTCCCCGATGCTCCCAGCAATAGCTCGGCGCCCTGCAGCCCTGCCCCAGCTCCCCCTTCCTCCGCGCCAGGCTCGCCGCACTCCGCTCGGCTTCCCCGCACCCTGCTAGCTCCACCTCCCGCTCCAAGCCCAGCCAGGTCCCAGGCCGCCCGCGCGGCGCTCCGGCCCCTTGCCGCGGCTCGCTCTCGCGAGAGAGGAGGGCGGTTGGCGCTGGTTCCATATTGGGTCATCTCCGCTCTTTGCGCCTCAGCTCTCGCGAGGCACCGGGGGGTGCGATCGATTGGTCTGGGTTCCGGGAGGAGGCGGACTCGCCTGGGCAGTGCCACTGGGCAAGGGAGGGGGAGGTCACTCCGGAGTCGCCTTCGCCGCCTGCCTTGTTCTGCCTGTGAGAGGAGTGTGTCCTCCCCCCCCCCGCCTGCATCAACATCTGGTTCCTTTTAGGACCCCCCTCCTCTCACACACGCGCTGTCCCGCCCCTTGGGGTGACAGTGCGGAGCACCCAGGGGGCGCGTGAGGAGAATCCTAACAGCCAGCGCGGGACAACCCCCGCACCCCACTCTTTTTTTGGGGGGGGGCGGGCGCTGCACGAGACACCCCCGGTCCCTTCCCTCTGGGGGCAGCAGCGCGCGACAGGGGGTGCGCGGAGGCTGTCAACGGTCACTGGCCCGGGCGGTGGCGAGGGGGGTCGGAGGCGGCGCGAGGCCCCCCTGAGGGGAGGGAGGGGTGCAGACCTGCCCCTCTCTCTGCAGGGGGGGGGCGGGGGAGGAAGAGCCCGAGTCCCCCCTCCCGCCTGGCCGGGCGGGGCGGGCTCCGGAGCCGAGATGTCTCAGGAGCGGCCCAAGTTCTACCGGCAGGAGCTGAACAAGACGGTCTGGGAGGTGCCCGAGCGCTACCAGAACCTGTCCCCGGTGGGCTCCGGGGCCTACGGCTCCGTCTGGTGAGTCCAGGGCGGGGGGGTGGGGGGCTGTTTGGATTGGAATCTGCCTGTCCTACTTGCACCCCTTGGGGGGAACTCGGGCACCCCGGGCCGGCTCCGCTCTCGGGGGTCGAGGGGAGATGGGGAATCTGCCCCGGCTTCTCACCCACTTCTAAGTACCGTCGGTGTTGCACGTGCAGGGCGGCGACTGAGTTGAAGGGGGGCGGCGGGGGTTCCCTGACCTGGGGGGGGGTTCATCCCCCAGCTCCTCCTGCCCCTAATATGGTTGAATCGGCCTTGCCCACGGGTGACTTTTATCCCTAGATTAGTGGAGAAACTGCTGCAGAACCAGTGTCTCCCTGGTGGGATGCACCAGCTTGCACCACATGGCAGGTGGGGGTCAAGTCAATTTCACAGGAGAAGATAGGCTTGTCCCACTCTTCCTCCAGGGTATTAATGTACACACTTTCCTCCCCATCCCCCCTTTAGTTACTGAGTGGTGGGGCATGCCAAGTCCGTGCAGTCTGCTTTTCAGAACAGGTGCCTGGTAGCTCTTGTTCCAGTTTCATCTGGGAGCTGCAGAGCAGGTTGCATTTTGGGTGATCTTAAAAGAGAGGTTTGTTGATACTGGGACAGTGATATGGTGGGAAAGGCTATGAGGCTATCTCTTCTGCCTTGCCCTATCTGCCAGGCTGCCAGGAGTGCTCTTACAGATACCATACCACTGGCCATAGGAGGTTAACATAGGGAAATTCGTGGTCTTTCCTGAGTGAGAAAATTAGGCGTAGATGCCTATGGTAGCAACATCTTGCTGTCAGATCTGTGAAAGTGTGGACATAACTGGCAGGAAAACAACATTCTGGTCTTTAATCTTTACTTAAACTAATACAGATAAGATGTGTATCTGCAGAGCTTGACTTGCTTGTAGTTACAGCATCATGATTTAAAAGGTTGTACTCCCTTGTTGCATCAAGTATTTTTGCTCATTTTGTGATGCAACAGTGCTTATTAGTTTTGGTCTTCAAAATATAGAATAGGAAATGAGTTTCTCTACTTGACTATCCTCAATGTTGCAGTCAAATCACAGCGATGCATGAAAGCTTTTTTAGGTGGCTTTGCCCTTTTTTAAAAGAGAGAATATGTAAAACATTAATGTCTTAGGAACACGTAAAGTGTTTAAAGCTTTTCTGCACCCAGTATGTCAGACCCTGATGAAGATTTTGTAATAGTGTTTCCACACAGTGGTCTCCTCCAATGTGTGAAGTGAGCATGCGTTAATGAAGTTTTATGCAATATAAATATCCACAGTGTAGGACTCACAGTAAACAATACTAATGAAGAAAAGTAATAGCCATGTATATATTGTAGCTTTTAAAAAAACCCAAACTGTTAGCTGTTTGTTTTTTAAACAAAGGGTGATTATATTATACTAAATTGTTTGCAAAGTTCCATTTAAATAACATCTATTAAAACTTATGTACTAAAGTATATGAGCATTTGTCCTTTATCCTTTGTATAAAGGTTAAACAAGTTCTAATAGTATGAATAATTGGTATGACAACTGAATGCATTCCCCCCAAATTTTTACTGTAGAAAGGCTGAGCTTAATTGAAGTAGTAAGATAAGTGCTTGACCTTGCTGGTTGATAAATATCTCCTGAGATGCTGAGTGTTCTGATTGCCCATTACAATCAATGGGAGTTGAGGGTGCTCAGTGCCTTGTGGCAGGGTCAACCCTAAAAATAAAATGAGCAAGGTCTCCTCCTACCCCCCCAACTCCTATTGTGCTTTCCAAAATGCTTGCATTACTTCCAAATATTTCTTTCCACTACCCATATAACATAAGGATTTGCATCATGAACTTCCTGTTTCACTGTGTCAAAACCTTTAAAGATTGTGCAATTGCATTAGTAGCAGAGGAAGTTGTATTTTCTGTTGGAAGCAGCTTCGGACGTAGCTGATAGTTGCTGATTATCAAAGTTTATTATATTCACGCAAGGACTTGCTCTGGTCTGGCATATCTTTTCGTTCCTGATCTTAATGTAAAGTCACTATGTTGAATGAGGCATCAAATTAATTTTCATTGTACCAGATTGAGACTGCAAACACAGGATTATGATTTTAGTGTGATTAACATCCTCAAGCCAGAAAACTCCCCAGGCAGTGATGCAGATAAAATGTACTAGCATGCATCACTACTTGCACACCAAGGTGAGAGGGTTAAACAGGACGAATGTCTAGGCTGTGAGGGAGAAGACTCAAAGGGCTGGTCCACACTAAGCCCCCAGTTCGAACTAAGATACGCAACTTCGTAGCTGAAGTCAAAGTATCTTAGTTCGAACTTAAAGGTACTTAAAGGTCCACACGTGGCAGGCAGGCTCCCCCGTCGACTCCGCCTACTCCTCTCGCAGAGCAGGATTACCGGCGTCGACGGCGAGCACTTCCGGGATCGATTTATCGCGTCTAGAGAAGACGCGATAAATCGATCCCAGAAGATCGATTGCTTGCCGCCGAACCAGCGGGTAAGTATAGACGTACCCTTACTCAAACATAAATAACAGAAACTAACAAGTCATGTAGATTAGTGTTTCCCAAATTATGGGATGCAGTAGTTGGGAGAGAAGGCACAGGCAACCTCTCAGTTTGTTCTTAAGTCTCATCTTTGATTTAAAAAGAATAGAAGGAAGATGTATACATTAAAATGTGAAGATGCAAGGTGGGCAGCTCAGTTTTCAAAAGTCTGGGAAACACTGGTGTAGTCAGTGAAGTTGCCTACACTAACTTATGAAGCCATTGCAGTAACACCTATTGTGTGAAATGCTTATGCTGCTTGCTCTTACAACAGTTTAGCATCTTCATGCAACATAGCTGTTTTTGTTTGAATTCTTAATGTGCATTCACATGAAGTGCACTCTACAATCATGTTGGCATCAATGCATTCTGGGATTCCTGAAGCACCTATTTCAGAATGCCTCCACGTGGTTGTTAGGTACAGGAGATTTTGATTAATTTCCAAATGCAAGGTACTACATTGTAGAATGGAATTGGGACAAGTGACTGAATTGATGTTGATGCAACTCTTGTGGCTTCCTGGCCATACTGGGGAAAAATCATTGGTGACCGCATGGGGTCAGCTAGAGCCAAACTAAAGACTGTCCCAGATGTTTCAGACACTTTATGCAATTGGTACTTATAAAATGTGT